TTTTGATGATAAAATAACAACTATTTATGTCGACAAAAAATGAAGATAAAGTTTGATGATTTGGATGTGAATAGACAATCCAACTATTCTCCATCAAGTTATAGAGTTTCAATTCAAATTTGAATTGAATTAGTTGTGAGAATAAGAAGATTTAAATATTAGAAGGTATAAACATCATTATTGTACATTCTGAAAAATGACAAATTTCTAAATGGGGATTTCAAATGTTGAAGATCTAATAAAATAGGAAATCTGATGCAACACAAAAAGTTACTTAGAAGAGAATAATTATGGATCAAAAACCAAATTAATACAGAAAAAATCAATATTGATCATTCATCTCTTCCCATTGCTTGTATCAATGACACATCAAAATGTTGTATCTCCTTCATCAACTATATTCATTGAATGATCAACTCAACCACTACGATTTTGCTCTCCATCAAGCCCTAAGGTAATTGGGTGACAAGAGGATGGTATTTTAAGTTAAGACATGACGTATTGGTAATCATATTTAGCTTGGAAGTGGTTGAGTTTTTGAAAAAATAAACTTAAATTGTTTGAGTGTTTGATCTATATCAACATGTATTACTGTAGGAAATAATTGAATACTATCTCATATTAGAAGCAATGGGGTAAGGGACGAATTAGTATAAAAAATATTAACATTCTTGGTGAGAAAGTACCGAGAGTTATTCTCACAATGCATGTGTCTACAAATCGGCTGACACATATAGATAGGCTTAACATAAAGAAAAAAATAAACAAAAATCTTGAAAATCACAATTCGTGATCTTTCATAGTGTTCCAACTAGTCTGATAAGTTCAACATATTCCACATACAATGGCAACAAAAAGAAAAAAGTGAAAAAGAAAGTTACAAAAATGCTTTCTTTCCTATTACACCACATCTCAATCTCAAAAATATTTCATTTCTTGATTTTCATCAAATCTTTGCCATAACTATATAGTAAATGTTCATATACTTAACATCATATAATTGTTTGTACTATCTACAATAAATTAACTAATATAAAGTGCTATGATTGAAATGTAGAATAGAATGAAAGGAATTAAACTATACTAAGGAAACTAATAAAATATTTAAATTCATAATCGATAATAAAATCTAAAAAATCAACAATGTTTACTTAAAAAATATTAAATGTTGAATCTAAGTTACTAAAAAGATGAATAATATATTATAAAATGATTTAAAATATTAAAATATTAATCATATATGTATATAAAGTAATAATATCGTAGGCACCCAATAACCGCTCTAACCATGTTTTGTAAAGCTATGCAAAGTTGATTGTGAAATATACATACTATTTATTATCCAAAATATCACACACAATTCAAAGGCATGTTAGAAAAAAAAACATAGAAAGTAATCACCACATGTTATCGGCATTTTTCTTATTTCTCAAACCTTTTTCACTCTCCTACTAACAGATGTTCACTCTCCCTATGAAGCTTTTATGTGTGGAAAGAAGAAAACAAATGTGAAGGGTGTAACAAAGGGTGGAATACTCCCTCCGTCCTTTCAGGCATCCCCTATAGTATTACCATTGATCTTCTTTGATAAAAAAACTAAATGTTTAGGATGTATGATGGAATAGAAAGGAACGATATCAACTTGAATCACTTGAGAAGCAACTCATCTCATTATAGCTAACACTGGATTTCAATCAACAAGCTAACTAACGGAAGTATTGTATATTATATGATTGTTAGGAAGTTTCTACAAGATTAGGATGCTATAAAGGTCATGAAGTTTAAAAAAGGATAGAAAATGCATCATAGAATGATAAAGTCACAAATACTTCTTCACCTAACTCAAGATTAAATCTAAATGCAATAGGCTAAATAATTTTATTTAAGAAATGTGAAAACAAACATATGATTGAAGAAGAATATTGTCATGTTTTTTACTTGATTGATTTGGTGAATGTGTCTAGAGCATGTGCTCATGCACCAAATGATTGGTGCAACTGGGTCTAATGTGGTCATGAGTGGTTGCAAGGGTGGATGCACAATTAGGTGCGAGCAGACAAGAGTATACATGAAAAAATGTGCATTTTAGTTCAAACTCCATGTCCTAAAAAAGTTCAATCTACTTATACATAAATGAACGTATGTATTTTTCATCATTATTACTTTTGCAAGTTCCCATGAGCCTATGTTCAATGGTTCAGATGACACTTTATTTTGAACCATATGTGTGCAAGACATATTGACCACCTTTGTAACTTGAAGATGATGAGTGCTTGATATTTTCTTTACTTCATGCTTCATGAAAAACCTAATAAGATCAAATCAATGAATATATCTACCAACTAAATTTGAAGAAAAAAATTAAGTATTAAGACACAGATATGGCAATATAAGAAGCCAAATGTATCATAATATGAAATCAATACTATAATATAGGTTATGATAAAAAAATACATATATTAATATTTGAAGGTTGCATTTTTTATATAAGCCAGTACATAAAACTGTATGTTTAATAGAAGAAGTTGTATATCTCAATGTATAGAATTTGCCTAATTCTATAAGTTAGTAAATAAGAAACTATGTTATACCCATTTAAGGAATTTGCATTGAAATATAAGTTATATATAAAACATCCTAGCACACTGCATAAAATGTATGATCCAAAACACAATATACTGATAAATTAGTAAATTAAAAAACTATATTTTTTGTATGAAAAAATTATTATGGAAAATAAATACATAAAACCTATAACTTTGCAAAAGTAATTTTGATTGAGACATGATTTTTACATCCATATATCACATATGGTAGTATGAAAACATTATACCCTTACACTTTAAAATAATGCAACATTTTGAAATCAACACCATATTGTAATAGGGAAACAACCACATTGCACTAGTAGAAAGACAAATATGAAATTCATCTCAGAAGTAGGCAATTCAAATTTTTGTAAAGAATGGATGAATCGTAAAAGCTTTACATAAATATGAATTTTCTTGAAATTCATAGACAAAGTCAAGAAGTAAGAAAGTTCTAAGAGCTAAATTAAAAACCTTAAGTAAATATATCTTTTTTGAACAAATTTTATGTTAGCAATAAAATGTTATCACTTCAAGTTGTATCTTCATCAATAGTATTTCAAGTGCAACAATTGACCAAAAATATATATAAGGTATAGTTTTAAAATTCAATTAATCTCATTGATAACAATTGGGTTGTAGTGGTTGAAGCACATCAATAGTAGTAAGCACTTGCAAGTTCCTAGGCATGTACGGAGTAATGGATTTAGTAGTGATCTAGAACCAGATCTCTATTGTTTGATCACCTATAGTTGTAAATCTAAAATTGGGTAGTAGGAGAATTCAGAGTGCTAGAGTTGTGCCTCTAGTAGAGGCAAGCTTAACGCCTAGTATGTAACTATTTGTGATATTTGAACTTCGATGTGGCATCTCTAAATAATAGAATAGGCTAAAAAGGATTAACTCATTATCAATTATGAAGCTCTCATGTAGTGCATCAGATTATTTAGCGTGTAAACACATTTGAAAATGAGGATAATTTTCGCCTCCTCTGTGAAGAACAAGACCCTACGTACTGAAGCAAGACCCCCCTTGCTCTCTCTTCTATGACAGATCCGGCCCTCCCTCCCCACTTCTCGCCATCAATCTCCCCCTTCCCTCTCTTCTTCTTGTTCTTTGATCCTTCCATCAGTTCCTCCTCTTTCATCCCACGGATGACAGTTTATATTATATTTTTGTCTCGAAACCCAGGTTTAGGTTTGAGGTTGGAATCGGAAGCCGCTCAAAGCGGACCGTCCCAACATGCTGCTCTAGTTCGATTACGGAATCGTCAAGTGGGCCAAGGAGCAACCCGTGGATGAGAACCCAAAGGCCACCATCCAACCCGCATGGGGACAGAGACATGCGACTGGGAATATACCGCCATGTAAACCGTTCATGCAGAGCCACGTAGCACCGCGGATTTGCCGACCATTTGGAGCAGCACTCAGAGGGTGCAGCCGGCAATCCCCCCGGCGGCACTGCATCCCAAGAGGCGGTGGCCGTCGCCACTCGGGAATATGGCGGTAAGGAACTGCTAGTAGTTGCCTAAAAATTATCACCATCCTGACGAGGCCCACGAGCGACAGATACGAGCTGGTCCACCTCGTGGGTTGTCTCCCGTTCATCGGGCCTGCGCAGGATTTCCTATCCCGGCGGGACCGTTCTTGCGAAGACGATGGGCGTGGCCCATTCCACCCCGTGGGAATCATCAGCTGGGCTTCTGCCGGTTTCTCCCCACGTGGAGTTGCGTTCTTGCTGGCCTATCGGCCCGGCGGAGATCGTGACGTGGAGAGACTCTTCTCCGGGCGCACAGATCTCTGCAAGGACATTAATGGAGACCGGAGTCCGCATCTGAGAGCGGGTTTCCCACCGCGATCGTCCTAAGAGTAGATGATAATGAAGCTAACCCAAGCCGGAGGGGGAGTCTTCAAGAGACGAGGGCCCCTCCTGCGGGATTCGAGCATCCGGCGCCGACCGGGGCAGTGGGGGCGGTGGGTTTGGAGGGGAACGGCGGGCGAAGCCCACGTGATGCCCCGCCCGGATTACGTTCTCTTGCGGCGGTGGCGGGGTCCATCGGCTGGCCCTGAGCGGTGAGCAGAGGGCGTATCCGTCAGTTTGGAAGAGAGCACCGAACCTGGTAGGTTGGCTCCGGAGAACCACCACGTCTCATGGGTGTCAACGCGTCGGCAAGTAGACCCGGCGTCGTCTCCGGCGAGTAGAATGGCTCAAGACCTGTCGTTATCAGTGCAGCGACTATGGGCGTCAGGCAGATATTATCTCCATCTTCGAGGGTACTTCGTCGACTGTGCTCAGTATAAGATCGCCAGCCCACCTCCGCCTTCAAATCAAGTTCTGCGCTTCCTCCTTCCTCCCTTCCTCCCCCCCCCTCTCTCTCTCACTCACTCGTGTGATTTGATGGTCGCCGAGAAAATGAAGTCTGCTAACGCCACCACGGTTTTGCTGCTCTGTGCTACCGCCACCGTCGCCTTGGCATTCACCGACGGTACGCTCTCCATTCTCCGAGCTCCCCTCAACTCCGGCGCGCCTATTCGGATGGTTTCCCCTGTATCCTTGTCTCTTCTCGATATACCCTGTTTGGGAGGGAACCCCGGTAGGTGGTCTAGACTCCCGCCGAGCTTTCGATCAAAATGGAACAGTTGGATACCGACTGAAATATTCACCCCCCACCCCCGGTGGCCTCGAAGATTTCCAACTGGGTCTCTCTCTCCTCGTGCTGTTCGGCTGGCCCTCACTCTGGCGACTCGCTTCGCTCTGCTCCTCGTTTTCGACGCTTTCGACCCAATGCCTTTATCATTCATTCTCGTGTTCAAAAGCTTCCGGTGGCCCATGCCCCCGTCGTCGGCGTTTGGATAGATCTGCCTCCCCATTAAAATGTGCATTAATGCGAGATCCCGTCTGTGGGCTGAGACTGCCGAGAAGACCGGCTGCGCATTGCAGACGGAGATCGAGGAGCCCCCAAAGGTAGAGAAAGAGAGGGACAATATTTTTCAAGGCGAAGCCTCCTTTTTCTCGGTTCCTTGAATGCGCGCTCGCGCGTCTCGCCGGCTGCCGGCTGCCGACATACCGCACTCTTCTGCGACATTATTGATATAATCTGGAAACTCAGACAGTGAGAGGACCATCGGAAGACTGTTTTCAGCCAAAGTAGGGCGACGGCGGACCTGTGGGGAGACCCCTGGCCCGCGATTGTCCGTCGCACATGAGGAGGAAGAGAAGAGAAGATAGGGGGAGCGGTCGTCGGCTGGAGCATCTACATGGAGACAGCTTTCCTTGGCTCCACCGGCCCCCATATTCCCCGAAATCATGACTTCAGGTCTTGAGGACGACAAGAGGTTGCGGGACCCGTCGATGGAGGCATGCATCATGGAGTCCTCTGCTCGAAAGCTGTTTGACTATTATCTGCCTGCTGCGTACAGGGTTGCTGGAGAATGGCAACTTCGAGAGGGGGCCGAAGAAGGCGGACCTTAGGGGGACAGAGGTGATCGGCCGGCGCGCCATCCCTGGGTGGGAGATCTCCGGCTTCGTGGAGTACATCGAGGCCGGGCACAAGCAGGGCGACATGCTGCTGGTGGTGCCGCAGGGCGCCTTTGCCGTGCGTCTGGGCAATGAGGCTTCCATCAGGCAGGCCATCAAGGTGACCGCGGGCATGTACTACTCCGTTACCTTCAGCGCCGCCCGGACATGCGCGCAGGAGGAGAAGCTCAACGTCTCGGTGGAGAGCGACTCCGGGGTGCTGCCCATCCAGACCACGTACAGCAGCAATGGCTGGGACTCCTACGCCTGGGCCTTCAAGGCATCCTCCGCGGTGGTCAACCTCCAGATCCGCAACCCGGGCGTCGAGGAGGACCCAGCCTGCGGGCCCCTCATTGACGCCGTCGCCATCAAGGAGCTCTACCCTCCCCGGGCGACCAACAGTAAGCCCTCCCCCACTTCTCTACCTCTCGCTAGCTGGGACAGCTCCATCTGATCAGGCAGATTCCTCCGTAGCTGTACATTTTTTTATTCTACTTAACATATTGGTAGTCAGCCTCCCCCTGACTGGTTTTATGCAATTGAACCAGAGAACCTGCTGAAGAATGGCGACTTCGAGGAAGGCCCCTACGTCTTCCCCAACGCCCCCTGGGGCGTCCTCCTGCCGCCCATCATCGAGGACGACCACAGCCCCCTCCCCGGCTGGATCGTGGAGTCCCTCAAGGCCGTGAAATACGTCGACGCCGCCCACTTCTCTGTGCCGCAGGGCCAGCGCGCCATCGAGCTGGTGGCCGGCCGCGAGAGTGTCATCGTCCAGGTCGTCCGCACCATCCCCGGCAAGGAGTACGTCCTCACCTTCTCCGTCGGCGACGCCAACAACACCTGCCAGGGTTCGATGGTGGTCGAAGCCTTCGCCGACCGGTTCGCCGGCAAGGTCCCCTACGAGTCCCAGGGCAAGGGAGGCTTCAAGCGCGCCCGCGTCAAGTTCACCGCCTCCGGCACTCGGTCGCGCATCATGTTCTTCAGCACCTTCTACCACACGAGAAGCGACGACTTGAGCTCGCTCTGCGGGCCAGTCGTCGACGACGTGCAGCTGCTCTCCGTCCGCCGGCGCCACCGCCTCCTCTGAAGCCCCCACTGCCGACTGGACTGAGAGATCGTCTCCCTTCCACATATATATACTCTTTCTCACCGTATGAACTCGGAGCTGCGAGGGAGAAGAGCTTGTCGTTGCTGCTCTTGTAAGTCAGTCAGTCAGTCAGTCAGCTGCTACTATGCACTGCCGGTAATTTTGGCCCCCCCTTTGACCGTTCGATACAATGCCGACGCCTCGCGGGTGAAAGCGGTCCGAGTCGCGCGGTCTGGTGATTCTGGGCCCTTTTGGGTCAGGTGGGGCAGGACGCAGAGACAAGAACTCCACATGGCGAGTACTATTTTCGGAAATATGTGTTGGGAGAGAGAGAGGAAAAAAGGCGGATATCGATGACTAAACATGTGAAAAATTAGTAATTAGTTTATATTTTAAATGCACGCGCGCGCCAGTTCATCTGAGCCTCTTAGAAGGTCGGCAGCCAGTCGACGGGAACCGTAGGATCCGGAGAGGGGGCCACCGGCAGGCATATCCGGATATGCCTCCGGCGACGTTTTAACAGTGCGACTAGCCGAAGACGATCGATCCTCCTCGCGGCAGCATATTCGTCCTGTGAGGATCGCTATCTCTCTCGTCGGCACCCATGGTTTCGGCGTCGCCTCCTCAGATCTAGCGACGCTCCCCCTCTTCGGAAGAGCGTGACCTTCGACCTTCGACCTTCGACCTTCTTCTTCAGATCCGGCAGTCTCGGAGATCGATCGTGCTTGGGATTGGAGAGTCGGAAACGAAGGGAGGAGCACAGAGGGAGAAATCTGAGATGATAATATTGAATTGTGGTTGGTGGATCTATACAGTATACAAAGGGACAAGGGGAGGAAAGAGGAGGGGGAGGATTTCTGCGGAAGAAAAGGGGAAATGGAAGAAAGCTTCCAGAGAGGCAGAAAAAGTCGCTGACTGGGAGGATAGAGGACGGATAAGCTCCGTCATCCACAGATCCGTAACCGAACTTCGCGAGTAACAAGATAAGATATAGTTACGTGAGCTCATCGTGCGACGGTCCTTCGGTACTTGGAAAGAGGTGAAGAGGGAGTAAAAAATGGAGCAATGAAATCCAGAATCGCACTGTCCACGGCGTGTCGCGAGGGTTGAAGACGAGCTACCACCCATGCAGGTGGGCGATCCGGTTCCCCTAGTCGTCGGATCGGCCGGAGAAGTCGGACGCAAGCCGGGAGGCGATGGCGGAGTGGTACATGATGTCGTGGAACGCCGACGTCTCCGCGGTCATCATCCGCAGTCGTCGGGCCTTATCTTCCGTGAACGCCACGGACTTAGTCGTCCCCCCTCGCATCTCTAACGCCTCTTTCCCGGCGCCGGTGGTCTTCTTCTCTGCCGCCCCAGCCGCGCCGCTGCCAGATTCCTCGATATAATCAGGCTCCGCCGGCCACCCGAACAGCGGCGTCCACCAGCTTCCGCCGCCGGCGCCTCCCACTTTCCTTCCGGATCTAGAATCGCCGGAGGTGGCGGCAAAGGTCCGGACTCCTGCCGGCCGGAAAGAAAGAAGAGGGGCGGAAGCCATCCGAGGCCAAACAACTGAGATCTCCTCTTTTTTCACGGTGGACTTTCCTCTCTGAATGGATGAGGGCGGAGGCCAAGCCTTTTTTTTATAGTCGTGACTTCCCGAGGGAAAGAGAAGGATAAGGGTACGCGTACACGTGGCGATGAGCAAGCCGGAGCGCTTTTCCCCGCGCTTTTTGGGGACTATATATTGCTTCAACCGTCAGATTTGTGTTCCTGAGTTGATTGGATGGACTCTCTGCCTCGAGATCCCCATCTAACGGTCATATTAGTGCACGGGTCTATCTTTTTCCTTTTTCCGGGATATTTCCATCAGACTTCTGAAAGCCCAACGAGATGACGGGCCCACCTCATGGTCCGCATGTCAATAGGTGGTTTGTTCTTCGACACAATGTTTCGTCACGTGGCTGACTGTGCAGGGCCCACGTCACCGACTTGTGCGAATGCAGCTTCTCCGCGGGAAAGGGACGAGCTTGTCGGGTCGTCGCCCGGTCGTGTCCGACGACTACGTCAACCCTCCGACGCCTAATGGGCTTCTCAGATATTTCCCTTATTGGGCCACTCTAAGTGGTGGGTTTTGACCGCGGAAGGGGTTGCTTTCCACTGTTAAACAGATCGTAATGGTCCCTGTGGGGATCAGTTATCCAAGGTCAGCCCAAGATCGTTAACTAAAGTTGGGAAAGAGAACGACGGCGTCCTTGTCTGCTTTTCGGCCGTTGGATGGATGATCAACGATTGGCGTGGAGCACTCATCGACATCCACACGCGCTGGTAAGCCGTCGAGACGAGACCCATGCGGTCTCCCCCCGTGTCAAACTTCCCTCCTGGAACAAAGCCACGTGTCTCTAGACTCCGGCCAACGTGTTTTGGGCTTGGGTCTCTTAAGTTGATGGTCTGCGCGACCTCCGAAGTGGGAAAGGATGTAGAGTTGGGCTCACCAAAGACAGACTAGTCAACGTTCGACGGGGTCGATGACAAAGTCCAACGCGGCATCCGTGTCCCACGATATTGACTTCAGAGTGAAGCTGGATCCCACAGGTGGAAAAAGCATGCTCCAGAGGCGGCTATCGTAATTCAGCCCACTCGCACGCGTTCGCTCAGTTCCCCCGGGTTTCCCATACGCGGGACTTGTCTAGAGGCCGATTCACCTTGACTCCGGCTGTTGCCGCAAACGGCCGGAGAGCTGGGTTTTACTCGAGTCCGCAGGGAGGAGCGATACCGGTAGTCAGCGATCGAGTCGGAGAGAGAGGCCGCAAGTCAAATGGTTATCTGACCGTCGCCATCCAGAGAGAGAGCAGCGAGAACCTCGCGGTGGGTGATCAACACGGAGGAGTACTCGAGCAGAAAGAGGACGACGACGACGGCTCTCCCGCGGCCAGCGACGGCGAGTGGAGCGACAACCTCAGCCCCATTAGCCGGTCAGCGCAGCGGGAGATTGTAGGTCCTCCGCAATGAAGCCGATCGCCTCCGCACGTATCTGACCATGCGAGAACCGCGGGGTTCCCGTCCTGGAACTCCTTCCTCGAGTGGGGGAAATTTGCCGCCGGCTGCGAAGACGAGGACGACGCTTGCATGCTGTCCTCGCTAAGGTTAGACTTCGGGGTCCACGTCGAAAAGGGGACTCATAGGGAATCTTGCTCAACATTTATTTCACCCGGTTTATTCTATTCAGTGCATCGGACGGCAATGATTCGTCTCTTATTGGGCTTTGTTGTGACGCTCCAGGCCACGCTCAGCATTGCCCATTGGACATCTCTCTCTCTCTCTCTCTCTCTCTCTCTCTCTCTCTCTCTCGCTATATATATATATATATATATATATATATATATATATATATATCCAGTTACATCCTCCCACCCTGCTTCGAGGATTTTTGTCTCTGTTTCCGACTTGCTTCGAGGATTATATATATATATATATAATTTCTACAATTCATTTAAATTAGGTTAACACATTTTTGGGTTTGGGTCAGCACAAATTCATGTGTGTCAATATAGTAGGTTGACATTTGCATTGGATTGATATACTTACTTTGAAATAGATAGGGACACCACGATTTATATTGGTTGAGCCTTTCATGGACCACATCCACTTTCTAGAGGTCTCTACAATTGGGTTCCATTATTATTATTGGGAAAATTACTTTGAAGTTTATGTGGTCAACAATTCCCCGTTACATGACAGAATTCACATGACTATCGCCTCACTCTAGACACTAGTGCATTTACACACTCAATACTCATGTTTCAAGTATTTTTAAAGGACCCTTATATTTGGTAAGTTGTAAACACTTACTAAGACCTCTAGATGCTCAAATAAGCACTCCCTTATTCATGAAGTTGATTTGAACCAAGGAGGAAGTTTGAAATTGTACTGACTTGTACAAAAAGAATTCACGAGAATGTGTGATGCAACGGATGCGATTTTATGAAATTACGATACTACTTGAAATCTCATTTGAATGGATTTGTATAAAGCCCAAGATCTCGATCACTGGAGTTAAAACAAGTAATATATCATTTTCAAAAGTTTCTATATTGATACATGGGTAGACCCATTGTCAAGGTAGCATAGTTAGACTGGTCGAGGTACACGACTTGATCACATGATCGGTGTAGACATCTTAGTTTATATTGTGACATGTCAACATATTATGTCCTTGTCATATACGCATGCCAGATGTTAGTCTTCTAGTGGAGATATAATATGCTGTCATCAATATTGCTACATGTCAGTTTTGTCCTCTGAATTTTGTTCTATTCAACCTTGAGCAGTTCATTTTGTCACATTTTATTTTAATTAGTTCACTTTTCCACGACATTATGTAATGTTTTATGTCATGCTATATGTCTCATATGATTCTAGTGTGCCACTAGAGATCTTTTGATATTGCTATGTGTCCGATGTGCTCACCCTTTAGGCCCACCACAAAGGAAAATAACTTGATTGCACTGATTGGTGGTTATGCCCACGCCATTGAGGCCGACCCATAATCATTTTAGGCTCAAAAAACTAATTATGAAATATATGACAACTCCACCTCTGCTGAATCTTGTCAACTTACCAAGATAGTAGTTCAAATCATCTTTTGAGGGGAGATGCACGCTTAGTGTTAGTCTAAGGGGATCAAACATCTTGAATTGGTCACTTCTTGGAGTCCATTTTTTCACCCTTCTCTAGTCCCATATCCCCCTCTCTTGTTTGCCTCGAGCCTTTTTCTCTCCAGTCATTTTTCTCCTATTTTTCTTCAAAAGTAATCTTGATTCATGCATGTGAGTCCAATTTTGGTGAAATCTCCCTTGTTACAACACAACCAATCCCCCCTCATATTTAGCATTTTCATGTGTCATCTTGATTTTAACTTTTTCTTGTGGTAATTTTGTGTCAGATGATTGTCACACGTCATTTAATGTTTTTTGTCACGTGTAATTTGTTGAGTCAACTTTGCCAAGTGTCATGTTGTCTTTGAGGTTTACTTTGACTTTGTCCATATGTTACTAGACTATGCAACATGCCATCTTGGTTTGAACTTTTCTTGTGTTGAACTGTGCTGGATGACTATGACGTGTCATGTGATTTTGTTATCATATGTCATTTATCTGGTCGTAGAGCCTTACCACTGGTCAATTTAACTTTTTTGGTAAGAGTTTTTGTCATTTTTCTCTCCTGACCAAGTATTAACTGATAATTTTTTGTGGTACACACCTATTTATTCTCATTTGGGTATACAATTTCTAAGTGGGTCAAAATAATTTTTGGCCTATTTTCTATTTACTTTGGTCTTTGTTCAAAAATGACTTATTTTGCTTTGGTGACTTGGTTTCATGTACATATAACTTTTGACATTTATTTTCTTCATTCAAGGTCTGAAATATATTTTTTGAAAAAAACTAAATTAGATCCTATTTTATGAAAAATATATTTCAACATATTTCAAGATAATGTTTCATACTTAAGTTTAAGCGATAATTTATTAATATCAAAATCATAAAATCCAACATAGAGAAACTCAAGAGCTCTACAAGAAGCTCTTCCTCTCTTGTTAGCCCCCTAGAAAGATTATAGGGTAACTCATGTTAGATAGAAACGCCGCTAATGATTTTGTTATCATAATATTCAAGATAAAATATTGAAAGATGATTAAAAAGCACGTGGATTGAAACGATGCCCTCGAGGTATGTATCCATCCCCAAGATACGGCGACCCTAACTCGAGGTATGTTTCCATCCCCAAGATTACTGTGGTTAAACTTACCTTACCGTAATAGAGGGAAGGGGGGAGAGAGATAGATGAAAGGGATAATAGCATCAGGATGTCCCGCAACGCGACCGTTGCGGCAGACGGGGCCGTCTGCGTCCGCGCGCTCGCAGCCCCAATGGACAGCGGTCCACGTGCCCAAAGAGCCACCCGCGAGGACCCAAAAAGGTTTAATATAAAAATAAACGTGGTCAAATAAAATTTTGACCTACTTTCCGCCGCCAAGATCGAGGATCTCCCCCGCCGGTCTAGAAAGGTCAATAATGTGCGACTCATATCATAAGATGATCGTGGTCAAATAAAATTCTGACAAACAATCCGCCGCCGAGCTCGGTGGCCTCGCCACGAACCATTCGAAAGAGGAGCTGATTGTCACCGGCAAGGGCCCCGCGCCCCTTATGCCTCCCGGTCATGCGCCGACGGCGGCTGTGCTGTGGTCATTAGCGACCGCACGTGGGATTGTGGAAAACCTCGGAGCGTCGGTTGCAGAAAACGGTCTTTGCGAAGAATCATCGAAGAAGTATTTCTTAAGAGAAAATGATCTGACGAAAATGTGAATGATTCTAGGTTTTAGGTTCCTTCAGAGCCCTGATATTCTTTTACTAGCCGATGTTGGGCCTAACAATATATCTGGAGCATTAAATTTATTGTAATGTGGAAGAGGGTTTCTCGGAATTTTAGTTTCAAGATGGGATTTTTGGGGAGTGTTTAAGATTAGCTCCGATTGTTGTCGGAAAATTGGAAGCTGCTGGCCGATATAAAATGGGATCCCCTTGTCGATAGGGAGAGGAGGGGAACCACAGAAGCAAAGCAGAGGTGTGGAGGGCGTTTTTCATGGTGAATCCTCCGGCAGGGTCCTCGTTTGGGACGCCCCCAAATGTCTAGTGAGCGAGGGCCGATACAGGCTTCGAGTTCTCTGTAAATTGCTGCACGGCTCATAGGCACAGAGAGAAGAAAGTCATGATGGATTACGTTATGTGCCGGCACCACGAGGTGGAGAGGGTAATATCGAGGGAGGGGAGCCGGTACAGCTTCTCCGACGCCATTCTGCCGTCGCTGGGGGCGAGGAGCAACCGCAGGGTAACGCTCCGCCGGTTCATCATCTCGCCATTCGACCGACAGTACAGGTGAGACCTCCCGCCCCCAGTCCTCCCCCGTCCGAACATATATCCTTTCCCCGCCTTCTTCCTCTTCATCTTCGAGTGGTTTTATTAGTGATTGCTACGGTGCTATCGAGCGAGGGGTAGATTAATCGATTCTAGACAAATTCATAGTCTCTTTGTTTCACGTTTTCGGAGAGAACCCAACAAAGGAATTCCAGCAGACATCTATCATCGCTCCCTTCGTTCTTCCCCTCGAGCGGTGGCATTCCCAGGAGATAATAAATATCTGCATTCATGCTGATTATTTTTCATGGCAAATTCAGGGCTTGGGAAACCTTTCTGATCCTTCTGGTCATCTACTCCGCGTGGGTCTCCCCCTTCGAATTTGGATTTCTCGCGGGCCCGGAGGGAGGCCTGGCCATTGCCGATAATGTCGTTAATGGGTTCTTCGCCGTGGACATCATCCTGACCTTCTTCGTGGCCTACCTCGACAAAGTCACTCATCTTCTGATAGACGACCCGAAGCAAATCGCCCGGAAATACGCATCCACATGGCTTGTTCTCGATGTTATCTCTACGATACCGTCAGAAATCGCGCGGAAAGCCCTCCCTCGGAAGATCAGATCTTACGGGGTCTTCAATATGCTTCGGCTCTGGCGGCTGCGGAGAGTATACGCCCTCTTCTCCAGGTATATCGGCCCTCCAACTACGAGCTGTACTCCCCAGCCCGGCCCTCTTCAATCTGAAACTTCCTACACTCCATATTTACCCGGACAAAACCGCACGAAAAATCAGAGGCATTGTGCATATGTCGATTGATTTCTAATTTGGGGAGCTACACTGATCTTCTGGGTGTAACAGGCTAGAGAAAGACAGGAAATTCAACTACTTTTGGGTGCGAATTGCGTGGCTCTTCTGCGTAAGAACCTTCACTGACCCCAGTCCATTCAGTCCTCAAAGCTCCTTGTTTCCGCGAGCGTCTCTTTCTTAACCCTAGCCCGGAATTTGAGTACAGGTCACTGTCTTTGCCGTCCACTGCGCCGGCTGCTTCTTCTATCTCTTGGCGGCGAGGTACCACGACCCTAGCAGGACATGGATCGGAGTGGCCATGGGTAACTTCCAGGAGGCGAGCCTGTGGAGTAGATACGTTACAGCGATTTACTGGTCGATGACCACCCTCACGACCGTCGGATACGGAGATATACACCCCGTAAATACTCGGGAGATGGTGTTTGACGTGTTTTACATGCTCTTCAACCTCGGGTTGACCTCATACTTGATCGGGAACATGACTAATCTGATCGTCCACGGAACCGGCCGCACCAGAAAGTTTGTAAGTTCTAATAATCCCACTTGTCCTTGGAATCCTTCATCACACAGTCCAATCTCCATGAGCTCAGGCTTCAGACAATAGTTCTTCCACCTATCTTGTCCGTGGAATCGAATCTCCTCGATCGGCATAGATCGATACTCATGTAGTAGTAGTGGTTTAAATAGTCATCTTGATCTTGGTGTCTCACACCACCCTTGTCGTCCATCTTATTGCTCGAATCTTCAGCATGGTTTGATGGGATCTATTTTGCAGAGAGATACGATCCAAGCCGCGTCAAGTTTCGCACAGAGGAACCGCCTGCCAGTGAGATTGCAGGACCAGATGCTCGCCCACCTATGCCTGAAGTTCAGAACGAACTCCGAAGGGCTCCAACAGCAGGAGACACTCGAAATGCTTCCGAAAGCCATCCGGTCCAGCATTGCGCATTTCCTGTTCTACTCTCTGGTCGATAAGGTGTACTTGTTCCAAGGGGTCTCCGATGATCTCCTCTTCCAGCTGGTATGAACACTACCAGAGATGATCACTGAACCGATTGATAGGCACTTAACGGGTTTCCTGACTCGAAAATTACATGAAGGTTTCCGAGATGAAAGCCGAATATTTTCCTCCCAAAGAAGATATCATCTTGCACAATGAAGCTCCGACGGATTTCTATGTGTTGGTGTCAGGTGCTGTGGTACGAATCTCACATTTGACTGAAATTTCTCGCGTTTCCTTGTGTTCTTTGTGATGATCCCCCGTGGGGGATCGACTGGGACTTATTTTTCTCATGTTTCCATCCGTCCTGTGCTTCCTTCCTTCAGGATCTAATCGAGCACCAGAACGGAACGGAACGGGTAAGTCTGGATTAGAGGCCGTCCTCATGGAGAGGGAGAGAAAGACTTTTGCCTTACCACAACAAACTGTGTCGTAACAGGTTGTTCGTGAGGCGACAACAGGGGACCTTCTTGGAGAAATCGGAGTTCTCTGCTACAGACCCCAGCTTTTCACCGCCCGCACCAAGCGCCTGTGTCAGCTGTTGCGTCTCAACCGTACGTCCTTCCTCAACATCGTCCAGGCCAACGCCGGGGACGGAACGATAATCATTAACAATCTTCTTCAGGTAAGCCGCATCGATTCTCTCTCTCTCTCTCTCTCTCTCTCTCTCTCTACTGAGAACATCAAATTAAACCTGGGAGTTGTTTGTAGTATCTGAAAGAGCAGAAGGACCCGGTGATGGAAGCGGTTCTGAGGGAGGCGGAGAGCACGCTGGGGAGCGTTAGAACGGACTTGCCCGTCTCTCTGTGCTTCGCTGCGATGAGGGCGGACGATCTCTTGATGCATCAGCTCCTCAGGCGTGGAATGGATCCGAACGAATCAGACAACCATCGGCGCACGCCGCTGGTGAGGAAATTCATCGTCTCTCCCATGCCCCTTAAATCCGTCATCCACTTGATCTTTATTGTGCTGACAGATAGATGTGTTTATCTCTGTGATCCTCAGCACATAGCAGCGTATAAGGGAAACAAGAGCTGTGTTCTTCTCCTTCTGGACTACGGGGCTGATCCCAACAGCAGGGGTATGAAGCTACCAATGCCCTGATATCCATTGCCGGAGTAACCAGTGTTCATCCATGACGATTCTTCCTTGGTGCAGACTCAGACGGGAGCGTCCCTCTGTGGGAGGCCGTTCTCGGGAGGCACGAGGCGATCATCAAGCTGCTCATCGACAACGGGGCCGATCTCACATCCGGCAACGTCGGTCGCTTCGCGTGCGTGGCGGCCGAGCAGAGCAGCGTGGAGCTGCTGGAGGAGATCATCCGTTACGGCGGCGACGTCACGTTGCCGGCGAGCAACGGCTCCACGGCGCTTCACGTCGCCGTCTGCAACGGCGACGTGAAGGTGGCCAAGTTCTTGGTAGACCGCGGGGCCCTTATCGACAAGCGCGACGTTGATGGCTGGACGCCGAGGGACCTTGCCGATCAGCAAGGCCACGAGGAGATAAAGGCCCTCTTCGGCACAAAGAAAGAGCTCGGCAGGACCCTCTCCGTCTCCTTCGCCTCTGAACCTGCCGTCAGAACCTTCGGGAGATTCAGAAGCGAGCCGTTCATTCGGGCTTCCGGCAGCGAGGTAGGGGGAGAAGTGTTCACATCGACGGAGGACAGCGGCCGGGGAGGAAACCGGCGGCGGCGGCGGGCTAAAACCTTCAACAATTCGCTTTTCGGGATTCTGTCGGCTACCCACGAGGACGATCGCCGCCTTTCCTCTGCCGGCTCAGCAAGAGGTTGCTTACCTACCATCGACGATTCACAGCCCAAGCACCTTCCTGTCCGCAGGGTGACGGTGAGCATCCCCCAGTATGGCGGCGGCGGCAGCGGCTATGCCAGCAAGCTCGTGCTGCTCCCCGGTTCTCTCAAGGAGCTTCTCGAAGTCGGCGCGAAGAAGTTTGGGGTGAACGCCACGAAGATCCTCACCGAAGACGGCGCCGAGATCGACGACGTCGCGGTCATTCGGGATGGCGATCGTCTCGTACTTGTCGGTGGAGAATGTGCCGTCAATGCGGGTTCTGAAACTTCGAAGGAGGAGCAAGAACCATTGGTTGACCGATGATTCTTCTACGAAGAAGGCATACAAACGTGCCGCAAATATGCTCGCGGATACTCTTCCGGTTGGAAGACGTTGGTGCGGAATACGCATGAATACACATACAGCTCTATACAGACAAGACTCAAACGCCCAGTAAAGATCAGGGTTTTTGTTTGGTCTCAGGAGTTTTTCTGGCTTACAAAGCGCCAATTCTACTATGGCCCATGCGCTGCAATATATTTGTTGAGCCCGTATCTCCCTTTCTTTATGAGAGAGAGAGAGAGAGAGAGAGGGAGGGAGGGAGGAGAGAGAGAGAGGGAGGGAGGAGAGAGAGAGGGAGAGAGGAGAGAGAAGAGAGAGAGGGAGAGAGGAGAGAGAAGAGAGAGGGAGGGAGAGAGAGAGAGAGAGAGAGATGAACTAGTCGGAAAGCGATTGGGGCGAGCGTCTACAGTGGACGGAGGTGGCGAAGAATGAGCTGCAAAGACAGGTTGTCGCCCAGGTTTCGCCATGCCCGTCAACGCACGCCCCAGCATCGATCTCCGGTTTAATGTTATTTAAATTAAAATTTAATTGTTCAAATAAAAAATTATTTCAAAATTCGAAATGATTGTATTATTGTATGTGTATCGATATATATAATATTAAAACATATATCCATCGACTATGGTGTCGTTTTATCGTGGTATCTGCAAAGTCGACGCGATTTCTCGAGGTTTTTTTTTCCCGATAGCTGTCTCTGTGTTCCGTGTGCGACTGGAGAGCTAAATCGGGGTCTTCTCTTCCCCGTGCCCGTCCCAGGTCGTCGGTCGTCGAATTAATCCCAATTCCGCAGAAAGCTCCAGGTAATGCTGGTCACTTCGCCGTGATCGGGGCCTTAGTATCGGATTTTCTCTCTAAGGTTTTCTCCTTCTTCTTCCTCTGTATTGTTCTTTCCATCGATCGCGCTCGGTCCAGCCAGAGTTTAGGCAACACGCGAGGTGGAAGTTTCCGCTATTCCTTCTTCGATTCGGTTCTAGGAATCTTCTGGCATGTGATGCTTTGATGGCATCTTCTGGTATGTGATTTGTTCCTCTGCTCATCGAACTTTGCTGGTTATTAGGGCTCCAGCCTGCGCGGTATTCTGGCAATTACGTGGGGTTCTCGGAGGCTCCTTTCCTTTGCTGCTTCCCGAAAAGGGGACTCATGGAGCTGGACGAGATTGGGGTTAGCCGCCCAAAGGACTCCGATCCCCTCCTTGGGAGTCACTCCGATGAATCAACCCCTAGCTCCTCGACCGAGATAACGCCCCCGGAGAGCGCGGGTGAGATGAAGGGCGAAGATATCGAGTCGGGTCCCGCGGCTTGCTGCCGGATATGTCTTGAGTGCGACGCCGAGCCAGGTAAACTTCTCATAGACTTTTTTTCTTTTTCCTCTGATTTGCATATCCTTACTTTGTGGCCGTCGGCATATTTTTTTATCTTTATTTTTTGCCTCATTCGATGACTTCTTATTCTTGCTTTGCAATTTGTTTCCGAATTTGAGAAATTGTGGCTGCATAGACTGCTTCGCTTCAGTCCGGAGTCTCTGTCTAACGGATCATTCATCATTGGGTAACTTTACAAAAATACGTCTATACTTTTCCCATCAGAGATTAAATACATTCATTGAGCCAGGATGAATTAAAACAGAGGGAGTTTCTCTTCTGTCATTATTGATGAAGATGTACTGGGATTCATCTTATATTCTGCTGTGGATTCATCATTGCTAAAGTTCGGACTTGCAGTTATGCCTGTTTTATTTACTCGACGATCCAAATATTCACCTAACCTATTTATGAAGACACGCCTTTACGAAGTTAATCATGCGCGTGGAACATCTGATCCAACTTCCTGTGCACGGAGTTGAATTCCTCCGCTCCGTTTGAAGAGAATTCTCAGGAAGGTATCATGGTGACGACCTGTGTCGAATATTAGCCTCGCAGCACTTAATGCGTGTTTCTTATTTGTTAAGAAAGTGAAGATGTGATATATCTTAGGAAAGCACGCGATTATCTTTTTCAGGTTATTTTCTTAAATAATTGTTGGTCTGTGTGCAATCTCTCGTGTTTTTATAATCTTGAAGGATCGTTCAATTTCGATCTCGTTCCCTTAGTTCTCACCATTCTCCTACTGTGGATTATGTTTTTGTTGCATTTCTTGTCTCTGTTTTTTGCTTTCTTGCCTGGACACATAGCTGATGTATCACGGTTTTTTTCTATGTAGGAGATGAGTTAATATCTCCATGCTTGTGCAAAGGTACACAGCAGTTTGTTCACCGCTCTTGCCTTGACCATTGGCGCTCAGTTAAGGCAAGTTTGCCCTTCCTTGGGATAAACGTCATAAGTACTACACAAACATAAATACTAAATGCTAGATTTAAAAAAAATACTTTCTGTACCAAACCTCCTGTGGGATCTCACCTTTATCTTTCTTTCCAGGAAGGTTTTGCTTTTTCCCACTGCACAACTTGCAAGGCTCAATTTCATCTCCGAGTTGAGTTCTTAGAGGACTATTCATGGCGTAAGATAAAATTTCGAATATTTGTTGCTCGGGACGTGCTCCTTGTCTTCTTGGCTGTACAAACTGTAAGAGCACAACCGTTTATGAATTTTACGAGTCTAATGATTATAGATATATCCGTTTTTCTTCCTCCCTTTTCGTTATGAATTTTCCAGTTGAGTGCTGTTAAGAGAATTAATTCATCTTGTGATCTTTTGAGACAAGACCATTGCATGATGTGATCTTGAAGTAATGTCATTGATGATAAAATAATTTCGTACTAAAACATTGCTCAAGTTTTGTTATTTGTGGTGCAGGTTTTGATGAACAAAGCCGTATTTTTCTATGTTGAATGCTGGTGTATTTAAATTCCTGCGAATTGTGATGCTAATCTTGATGCTGATCTTGCTCACTCACAGGCGATTGCTGCCATGGGTGGAATTGCATACGTCATGGATAGAAGCGGGGACTTCAGAAACTCCTTCAGTGATGGTTGGGATCGTGTATTATCTAAACACCCTATACCATTTTACTACTGTTTAGGTATGTTGCAAATTTAACTTTCTTTTGTTTACAATATTGAAAGAGCGAATGTGCTTATTGCTGTTAGTAAATATGTCGATGAGACAATGTATTTTGTGAGTGCATGTAATGGCAGGTTCCTAATAGATATAAGCATCGACAAATTATTGGGTCCGTCTCTTGAGAAACTTACATCTTAGAATGGATGACTTTATTTTTATTTTTATCCCAGAGACGTTTAGCTTATCTGACTGATGAGTCATTAGAATCCAGAAGATGAAACAGCCTGATTCTAGTAAGTTGGACATTGTGGGACTTCTCTCGGCACACATGTCAAGAGAATCGCTTATCCCTTATCTGAATAGCAACGTTAATTTAGCAATTTATAGGCTTTGCTTGGGCTTTTCCATGGAAAGTATTTCAATCCCCTGAATGTTGAGGTAATGAATCGTATTTGAAGAGGCAGGTTAAGTGGTGATTCACAGAAAATATTTTATTTTGTCCCTCAGTTAAGTATTGATGCTTATTACATGATAAATCTGGAAGTGGTGATTTTCAACCATGTTTCAAGCTCAGAATCGACCATGTATCCAAAAGGAAGTTCATTTACCACTGCTGCCCCTTGTTCCAACTAGAGTGAATTGTTATCTAGATTTCCAATTACACAACGATTTAGGGACTGGTCACAATTTAATATTATTAGCAAAAGATTTCCAATTACACTCATAGATTTAGGGATTGCTCACAATTTAATACTCTTTGCAAACCTGGCTTAATCGAATGTTGTGTCGCTCCCAAATTATGCTTCCCATGTGGCTGAGAAGATCTACGTTTATTCATTTCCTCTAGTGCACCTTTCATGAACCTTGTGGACGTCAGAACATCAGTATGTGAACACTGACCCAAATGAAGCAAAGCTTAGCCTTTGATTTCATGTATAACTAGGACCAACATCACTTTTGAATCATTCTAACCTTTTCATGCATTAAGTTTTGAGCCAGACGATGTTTGGCAAATCATAGCTTCTGGCCATAAGAGACATAGTCTTGTGCATTTTGGGCCGATCAGCTGATTTTTCTTGCCTTCTTTGCTGAATCCCTAGGTTTCTGGGGGAACCAGTGATTATTAAGTTCGGGTGTTGTTTTCATATTTGGATTAGATTAATTACACAAAAATTCAATCTCTGACTCCACGGGGAGAGGTGACCCCCGTTCTCGACTAACCAAGATACTGAAGAATCAGCCGGTCAACTGGTCATTTACCATGCTAAAAAAAATGGGCACGCTAATATTTCCTTGGTAGATTTGATTTCTGTTTTTGAAATGTTTCATTTCACAGTGGACGTATTATATTACTGATCCCAGAGGATGATGCAGGTGTCTTGATCTTCTTTGTATTTACGGGATTTTTCGGGCTGATACTGCACTGCTCGTCCGTCAGCAGCAATGACCCATGCATGGCCGGATGCCGCAACTGCTGTTATGGCTGGGGCATCCTGGATTGCTTCCCTGCGTCCATGGAGGCTTGTTTCGCCCTGGTTGTGGTCTTTGTCATCGTCTTTGCAATCCTCGGCGTGGCTTATGGTTTCCTCGCAGCAACCATGGCCATCCAGAGAATCTGGCAGAAACATTACCACATCCTCACCAAGAGGGAACTAACCAAGGCATAGCCACTCCCAGTGAGCTGTGAGTCCTCTTCTGAGAATCTTGGTGATCTCGTTCGGTAACCACGGGCCCTTCTTTTGAATTGCAGGAATATGTGGTAGAGGATCTCGGGGGTTGCTACACACCCCCAAAGCTGGACCCCGAGCATGAGGAGCGTCTTAGAGTGCTTGCGCTTCTGTGACTTACAGGCTCTCGCTCAGTGCCCAAGCTAATTGGTATATATGATCTTTCAAACATCGATCCGAAGAGGGGCAGTAGTTCGCGCGATTACAGCGTGTTGCCTCCTCCATCTAGGGTTGATGTGTATTTGGTGGGTGTTATGCTGTTCGTCACATGCTAGGTTGCGTAGCTCAAGAGGGGTTCAGAGTGGCCTACTTTTGAAGATTTTTATAGCAAAAGTTTCCTGTTCCGAGTTAGGGTTTTCAGGCCCATGAATGAAGATTTAGGAGAATAATCAAGATGAGTGTGATAATCCACTCTCATTGTTGTATGCTATTTTTAGAAGTGAAGATAGCACGGTGGGTATTTCTGTATATAGTCCACCAGAAACTCCATTTTGCTGTATATTTGGTCCCTGCGACATTGACTATAATCCCTAAGTGGACTTGCTTTATATCTTGCTGGTGGACTATATACAGCAAGAAAATACTCTATAATCGTGCACTTAGGTTTCTTGCCTTCCTTCCTCTCTCTCTCTCTCTCTCTCTCTGACCAGGTCTACTCCTCTGCCCCACCCATCTCTTCTTGGTAGGTTCACGGTCGGGAGAAAAGAGAGGGAGGACGACGAACGCGAAGGGGGAGCGAGTGAGATGCTCTCTTATCAGCCGGAGGGAAAGCACAGCGAGAGGGGAAGTCTCGGGGACAGAGCTAAATGTGAGACATCGATAGATTCGGTCAAAGATCCACACAAATTTTTCAAGACGCCGAAAGTCAACGAGGGGGGCGCGCGTCAGACGGCCGAGAACTTGGGAACCTCCACGGGGAAGCCGTCGATCTCATCCATCCAGGGGTTCCTCTCCTCGGCGGGGTTGACCGTCTTCAGCGCCCTCCAGACGGCGCTGTTGCACTTGAAGCCGGAGCCGAAGGCGATCTGCCAGGTGCGGTCCCCTTTGCGGATCCTCCCCTTCGCCTCGGCGTAGGCCATCTCGTACCAGAGCGAGCTGCTGGAGGTGTTCCCGAACCTATAGAGCGTCATCCGCGACGGCTCCAAATGCCAGTCCGATAGTTGCAGGTTCTTCTCTATCTCGTCCAGCACCGCCCTGCCTCCGGCGTGGATGCAGAAGTGCTCGAAGGCCAGCTTGAAGTCGGGGATGTAGGGTTTGATCTTCATCTTCAGGAACCTCTTCCCCACGAGAGTGGCGAAGAAGATGACCTGCTCCGACGCCGGCAGGACGAGGGGGCCCAAGGTGGTGATGTTGGTCTTCAGGGCGTCTCCGGCGACGCTCATCAGGTCCTTGGAGAGGGCGACCCCGATCTTCCCCTCTGCGTCCTCCTCCTGGGTGACGCAGCCGAAGCACTTGTCGTCGGCCCCCTTGTGGGTCCGCACGGTGTGGACCAGCTGGTACTTGGAGCGCCGCCGGTCCGAACGCCGGTTGGACAGCAGGATCGCCGCCCCTCCCATGCGGAAGAGGCAGTTGGAGACGAGCATCGAGCGGCTGTTGCCGAAGTACCAGTTCAGGGTGATGTTCTCCATGCTGACGACCAGGGCGTAGGAGTTGGGGCGCGCCTGGAGAAGATGCTTGGCGAGGTCGATGGAGATGAGCCCCGCGCTGCAGCCCATCCCGCCGAGGTTGTAGCTCATGACGTTCCCCCTAAGCTTGTAGTGGTTGACGATCATGGCGGAGAGCGACGGGGTCGGATTGAACAGGCTGCAGTTCACGATCAGGATGCCGACGTCCTTGGGTTTCACGCGGGTCTTCTCGAAGAGTTCGTCGAGAGCGCCGAACATCACCATCTCCGCCTCCTTCCTGGCCTCCGCCATGCATGGGTTCGGAGGGACGTTGAGCACCGCCTCCGGGAGGTAGGTGGACTCCCCGAGGCCCGATCTCTCCATGATTTTCCGCTGGAACTCCAGGTTCTCCTCCGTGAAGGTGCCCGTCAGCGTAGACCGCTCCATGAAGATCTTGCGAGTGCACTTGCGCGCGTCCTCGGGCTTGTAGCAGGAGAAGTCGACCAGGTAGACGGGACGCGGCCGGGTGAGGAAGTACAGAGTGGAGAGGAAGACGAGGAGGGTGGAGCAGAGGATGACAGAGATGAGGTTGTAGCGGAGGTGGTCCCAGAGCTCGCGGACGTCCTCGGGGGAGAGGGTGGAGAGCTGGGCGGCAATGGCGCCGCCGACGGGTGCGAGGCAGAGGAACATCCCGTGGGTGATGAGGTAATGGTACCCGAGTTTGACGTACTTGAGTTTAACGGATTGCTTGAAGTCGGGAAGCCTGCGGGTCGACGCCGGCGGCGGAGGGGCGTCTCGCTGCGAGTCGGCGGCCATGGCGGTGGGGCCGGCGGGGAATAGAATCCGGGAAGAACGGCTGCAAGAAGAAGAAGAAGAGGGGAGAGAAACACGAAAGCTATGGTCATCGCTCCCCGTCTAAATCACAGCCTACATGGAACCCTGAGAGGCGATGCCGACCTCCGCATCGCTCAGACCAGGAAGACAGACCGGCCGCTGGGCGGGACAAGGACCTGAGGTAATGTGGTCGATCGAGACCACGCCAGATCCGGCAGAGAGAGACGATAAGAAATCGAAGATCCGGAGAACCAAGGACGGAAATCCAAAATCCTGCCCGTCAAGGGTGGAAACTCCGAGATTCGGGAAATGGCTTACCCAGCTGCGATAAGAGAGCAGAAAGGGGATCAGAACCTACACGGCGACGAGCACGGTTGAAAAGAATACTCTCGCCTTCGAGGAGTTGGGGGGGGGGGGGGGGAGACGACGCAGACGGAGGCCAAGAACACGGAAGTCGGCAAGGCGATCTAAGGGCTCTGCTGGGGATCACCTCGCAATGCCGGGATCAAATCGCTGCCAGCTCTCCCCGGCGCACCCCGCAGAAGAGACTGGCCTCACCTCCTCCGCCTCCCCCTCCTCCCTTCGTTGAGGTGGCGCCGCCTGCCTCCGCCTGCAAAGGTGGATATTAGTTGTAAAGCCGAAATTTTTATTCCCCAGAATGGAAATATGAAGGCGCTGCGGGAACCGGAGCGGCGGCGGGCCGGGTACACCGCGGTCCCTCAGTCGCCGGCGATGCCGCCGCACAGCTCACCAAATGGATTATTTAATACTATTTTAATTTATATTTTTGGTTGCGAAATTTGAGAAGTCACGAGCCCTGTCTTTCCTCCACTGCTCAACGAGACATGTGGGTTCCAAGTTGCCAACGGCGCACTGCGACCCTCGACAGATGAAGATTTGTGTTCGGCCCCGAAAGGAGATCCTTGTCTTGTGAGGTTTAGAAACTCCCCGAGGAGCCTTTGACTTCTCCGAGCCCCGTCTTTCAGGATGTCGTGAAACAGCGCTTTACGAGTCTACGAAATATTTATTGATGACGAAAAATAAATTCCATTTTCACACCAACCCAGATAAAGGGTAAATCGATAAGAGGCGTAAGATGAAGGATCAGAATTGACCGCGGGGTGTGGATTTGACTTTGACTTTATCCCTTCCTGAGGACGACGGAGGCCTCCATTGTCCAAGACTAATAAAGTTTAGTAATTATTCCTTTTGACGGCCCGTCGCGGTGGTGAGTCCACGTCCTCACCAGCTCAGACACGGCCCCACCCGCGCCCAATTGCCAGTGACTCATGAATGCGCGTCAGGACGAACGGGAAGAACGATTGACCCGCGTCGACTAGCCCTATTTTCCTACTTTATAAAAATAATGCTGTCGGTTAATCAGAAACGCATTGTAAGATAAAAAATCTTATTTTGATTCCCGGAGTTTGTCAGGATAACACATGTCGCCGTCGCAATGGGGGACGACCTTAGTCCACGGACAACGACGGGGGTATTAACTCGCAAAAGTCAAACACTGGGAATCTCGTACGAACCACAGGTAATTACGGATGATCCATTAACAATCTCTCTCTCTCTCTCTCTCTCTCATGCGTTCAATCCGGTGTCCCCGCAGGCATGTGAGACGCTGGACCACGACCGTTCAGAGCTCTGACACGCCTCTGTTCAATCCCGTGATGGTTCCTCGAGAAGCGGAGATGAGAGTGCCGGGGGGTTAGGGGAGCCTCCGGGAACCCTCCCGAAGGGAGAACCGACGGCAAACGGGGCGGGTGTCGTCGTCCTCTGGGCTTACTCGACATGATTGGTCGAAGATAAAGACGCGTTAATGGTTGAGCCAATTATCAGGATGGGTCAACGGGCCCACAGGGGTCTGGATGGCGTGGAGTGTGCTCTGGGATCTCATCCACCGATGTTTGCTCAATTGGTCAACAGGTAGGCATTGCTTCTTCTGGGCCTCTCCTCCGCTTCTGGCGACCCACAACTCCACTTTGCATTCCTTCCAGCGGTCCTCCCTCATCTGGGTCTCTGCTCGGTCACGCAGCGCACCACAAATCCCCTACCGTCTTTCTAGCTTTGCCTGCCCGCGCAGATCAGGTGTGTTTCGAATTAGATAGAGACAGAGTAGATAGATAGAGAGAGAGAGAGAGAGAGAGAGAGAGAGAGACAGAGACAGATATATATATATATATATATATATATAACGAATCTTTGCCCCCACAAGACCTCCATCAGGTGCTGCACTGTTCCAAAAGCCGATGACTCAAAGCACTGCCCAACGCAGAACTAGGCGGTGGTTCATAATTTTACTAAACATTAAAATGTAATAAAAATGAAATATTTTACTACCGTCGTATAAATATTGTCGTAAAAATCACCGGCGATGTAACTTTTAGTACATGCATCGTTATGATCGAGCATCGACATGATTAACATTGACAGCAATAGTGCTGATATATGCTATTGGCAGGACCCCCCATTCGGAATACGATCTAGAGGACAGTAAATCAAGGAATGAATAATGTGAATAGATAATGAGAATGGAAATATGGGAAATATAAATAGAAATAGAAGATAAAACAATAGAAAGAGTAGCTTGGGCTCTAAAGAACCCTAGAGTTAGTGGGGACGTTTGAGAGTCCCCACCGCTCTCCTTCTGCCACAGCTGCCTTAGGGAACTACCCAAAAACTGCCTCCCCTCTCGTTGTCGTGAGTCTGCCAACCTTTATAATCTTGATGGGCCAACGATCGAAGGCCCACTTCTACCATGTCCGTCATCCATCTTCACGATCTTCCGTAGCCTTCGTTAGTTTCTAGAGATACATGGGCACCACCCTATACGTCAGGTTCGTTTCCCTGACGTTGGTAACAGGAACTTATGAGTATTATCCGATACCAGTTGGGGGTCTAACAGCTACCATATATGTCATTGCATATGTTCCACAAATTGAGAGCATTACAATAAGTAATACACATTATGACGTTACATCGTAGATGTATTGACATTTAAAGCACATATAAAATCAAAAAAAATAGATGTATTGACATTTAAAGCTAGATGTATGCCGATATTGATTTCTATGTGGACACATCACTAGATCATCAAATCAATTATAATTCTATGTAGGATATCTTCTATGTACAATGGTCATTTTAAGTCACTATATACTTATATGATGTATTTTAGCTATTATCTTTAGCTAATCGACCTTATTTATCAAACTAAAACTTAGCCAACCTAGGTTAACTTTGTTTCCTCTAGCAACCTTTGCTCAACGTTTTAACTATTGTAGAGGCTCATTGAGCCAATGTTTCAGCCTCGACATGCATGGACGTTGGGGTTTGGCAAGCATGACTGTATTTCTCGACATGATGGTGTTCATAGAAGACTAGGTTCAATGGGTGTGACCATAATCTTTAGTGGCACAACTGTAACATTCAAGAAGATGGTGCAATGGGAGACCAATGCTTGGTAGGTGTAGATGTGATCTTTGATTAGATGATGTGTGATTTCAGATCACGTTGGCATTTTCAAATCTTGGAAAGATCTAAGGGCATAACTCAGTGAATGTCTCTTCTCTTAAAAGTGACCTGATCCTCAAGAAGAGAGGGAAGAGTGCACAAAGTGGAGTGAGGCCAAGTAGAGACTCTCCCTGGTATATTGTCCCCCCTTTGGGTAAGTAAGCATCCCCCTTAGTGTTCGTTTATCCGCTTCATAAAAGAGAAGACTGCTTGGTATCCATGGAGTAATGATTGACGTAGTCACAAGTGAAAAGTAGGCAGCTTGGGAGTCAACTTTGCGATAAAATAGTGTCAGATCAAAAGGATCAAAATGGTGGTTGAGAGCATCACTCATGGGGCATAAATTGCTCAATTGGAGCGGAGTTGCCCAGACCAACTCTTCCCTTGAGGGAGTGGGGGCATTCAATTAGCCCATGGAAGAATGGCAATAAATGATACAAATGACTGTGTGGGTAAATTTGTCCCCTTGAGTGCATCGTGGTAAGATGTCAGTGAAGCCAAGGACTTGAAGGCGACGCTGACTGATTGTCCCCTCGCAACTAATATGTTGCTGCTTAACCAATGGACCGTTAGTTCCAAGGTCCTTGAACCAAAGAGTATTCGTATGCATCTGAAACACCAAGGAGCCAATAGTTTTCTATCAAAATTATAGAATCATATTTATAGTGTTTTGCCCAACCTAGCCTACCTCCACTCTCTAATGACCTCATTCTTGATTTCTACTAAATCAATGTGGTTGAAATGATAAACATAGAGGCTTCAACTACTGTCCACTACATTTCGAGGGTTTAGCTACCCTAAATTCTTCATAGAAATACTTTTTCAAGATTCATCACTCTAGGAGGCTAATCAAATTAGTACTTGATTGTGTTTGAGTCATTGGATTAAAACACGTCAAACTTAATATTTACATTGAACTTATAATTTGGAAATTAGCTTGAAACTTCTTGTGAGTTTCGGTCGATCCTCAGATATGACTGTCAAATTTTGTTATTAAGCACTTATTAAAGTAAAAAGGGGCAAAAGACACTATGAAAATTTATTGAGTCAATGAAACTAAAAAAAGAAAAAGAAACTCAGTTCCTCTATGTCGAGTGTGTCACCCACCTGTCGTAGAAGAATGCAAAAACATGCAAAAAGTGCAATGAAATCAAAACAGTGAGAAAATAGTACTCAACTGATCATTGTGTCACTTAAGGATTAGCATAGGAAGCGTGTACCCAAAGAAATAAATCAAAATTAATAAAATACGAAATCATAAAAAATGTAGTAAAAAGCTTTCATTCTCTATTGTATCATTCAACATAGAATGAAATAGAAAGATACATCAAAGCTATAAAGAAAAAAATAAATTGTTGAAATATAATCCTCTTTAAATCCATGTGTCACTCAAAGATCTAGAGAGGGGGAACACGTATTGAATTAAACTATGAAAAAAAGTAAATAGACACTGCAAAGGAAAGCCCTCATCTATGGCAATCTTGTCCCTTCTCCATCTATCACTCCGGAGATGGTTGAGAAAGGGGGGAAAAAACTCCACGCTGTTGACATGCTGTTGTCGTGAATGCCGCTGCCATGTTGTTGTCATGCTCAGCTCTACCTCTACCTGTCACATAGGAGGAGAGCTAGCAGCCACCGTCGTTATCGCCATTGCCACCGCCATGCTGCTGTGCCACTGCCACTGTCTTTGCCTATCATACAAAGAGGGGTCAGCCGGTGCTCCTGTGGCCTAGCTCTCGAGAACCAACCGCCCCCCCCTCATTTCTCTCTCTCCTCCCTCTTGCTCCGACATCGTGATAGGTTGGGTATTGAGCCTAATGTAGCTGGCCCATTACGAAATTGTATCAAACCTCTCCGTCCGGTCCAACAAGCTTATGACAAAAAAAAACTGAAAAAAGGGGGAAAATGTTTCTCAAGGTTATGCCTTCGAATTACATTAGTATATGAAATAATAATACGCACGTTTAACAAAAAAACTAAATATGTTTTAAATTTTATTTGATATTTTTCATTCAATTTGATTATATTTGACCACAGTAAAACTGATTTTTCTTAACATTTAGCCTCAATCATCAGCTAAAATTGATATATAACTCCCCCAACTTAAACATTATTAGTCCTTAGCAATAAGCATTGAAAAATTAAGGTAGGACTAATCGAGATTCAAATGATGTGTTTCAAACGACATCAATTTTTTAGTCATGACATTTGACCTAGGCATACATCAAATATCTGCGATGATTTGTAAGAGTAAATTTTCTTCTCCACTGTTTGAATTCCCCTCTAGATTCATCTTCATAATTGCATAAGATCTGCACTACCGACCAGCAAACATTAAGGAATAGATAATTGAGAATTTCATGTCTAGTACTCAAGAGTGTTCTTAATTTTACAATCTTTACCTTTTTTTCTCAAGATTCAAAGTTTAATGGCTACTTAATTCCTATTTATATTATATGGCAATGACAATTAGCTTTTTCCCCAAAGTTTTTTTTTTGTGACTAGATGAGAGTGGGCAATAACTTCCCTTGTCCAATAATGTGACTAGTAGAGCTTTCACTCTCTCTTTTCTTTTTTTGAGATAAGTAGCTTTTCTCATGTGAGATTTACATCTTTGGGGTTTCACACTGTCATTTTTTTACTTCTTTTGACATGGGATTTTTAAACTTTTCATCTTAAGTATTCTATGGTAATTTTTATAATTTGAATATAAAATTTATAAGAAATTCTGCTCACTCATGCTAAGTATTTAAGCCACCATCATCTGTAGTACTGCCTTATATTTAAAATTTTGAATTTCCTCCCTAGACTTCGTTTTTTTTCTCCTTGCCAAGCCAAACTAAAGGAAACACCATACAAAGCACAACAAAACATAAAATAGAAAATATTCATAATGTGTTGTGTTGCTTCCCAACTAGTGTTAAATTTAATGTTTACAACTAGACACATCAAAGCTAAAAGTAAAAGATGGTATATCGCCATCAAGATATAAATTTATATCCAACAAAAGGCTTTCTGAAATATTCTTTGTAAATGCTTAGAGTATTTATTGAATTTTGAAGTGGGTTGTTCTTCACTCTGCATTCCTTCATTAGATATTCTTGACTATTGAGATAGAATTTTACGCTATTTTTCCAAAAGTAATATTTCCATTTAATGAAGAACCGATCCATTTATATATCCCGTTTTGTAGGGCTCTCATACACTGGTGAATATTTTGCTTTTAACGCACCATGGAATGTGTTCAAGACATATCATTCTCAAATTAGCTTCCCGAGTTCTTTTCATGCTTGTAAAAACGCCAGGAATTCCTCTTTACTCGTGTCAAAAGAAGATGAGAATCGATGTCTCAATAATGTGGTAAGCGGCGGAACTCAAGATAAGAATTTGCGGTGACTGAGATGGGGATAAAAGAGTATTCTTTTAAAGTGGCCCTTTATTCTCACCGAGTTTAAGCTTTTGGGGGGTTCGGTGCCGAGGAAGGGCGCCAGTCAGCAGAGATCGGCAGACAAGTTCAGTACTTCTAGGGACATCGTTTAGGGCCATTTTTGTAAGGAGCTATGATTTCCGTCATAGTCAGCCGTGCTTCTCCCCTTGCCGCAGCCTCCGTCCTTTCTCCTCTAGTTCCGTTTACCTCCAGATTTGGAGGCGCTCCGAAGCCGACGGTAGTACCCCAATGAAGAAGGGTAAAATAGTATGCCCCCAATGATGAAGTCTGCTCGGGTTAACGCTCTAGAGACACGTCAGACTGTCGCAAATTGTCTTGTCCCATCTCTGAACCTTGTGAACGGGACATAAAATAATGATGTTTGGCAGACTTTTGACCATAACCAGTGAAAGATATTTCCTCAAAATAGATTAACGATCAATCAAGATGTCACTTCGTTTGTTTTTTACCTATGATTTCTCGTAAATTAGGTCAGCCAACTCCAATTTAGCGGTCACTGATTATTTTTTTCAGTCAATGTTACGCGTATGGTATATTCTTAGAACACCCCGTGACTTCTCGGGTAATGACGTTGAAATTAGCTAGTATATTATCGAGCTGTTGTAGTCACGTGTTGAGGGGGGACGATATTAGAATATAGAAGGGATGGGGGCTTGTGTGGTCAGTGGCTGACGGTAAACATCTATAGATGGAGGAGATGGGGGGCTAGCTGAGGAAAAACGCCTGGAATATGAGAGGTCTGGGTCATTTGTGTGTGTCACACAGAGTGATGTCACATAGATTGTCACAAAGAAGTCTACTCTGAATTCACAAGGCACGAAATCTGAAGTGGGAGCAGATTTGAAATCAGGCCTTAGATTTACAAAACAAAAATTTCTCAATCAATCCATAAGAATTGATTTTGAAGGATCATTGAATGCACAACGAACAGAAAATGTCTTTGAATCTACAAGGAATACTTTTGACAATACTTAATGCATAAGGATCAAAGTAGCATCGCTTAAATCAGCAAGGGTTGATTCAATCCACAACCAAAAAGAAACTCTAAAAAATAACGAAAAATCATATATTCGTCATCTTTTTGCCCAGGTTTTAGCATTCAGGCCTTTAAACTTGCTGAAATATATTCTAACTGACCTTAAAATCAGATCAATTAAAAAAAAAAGATTAAAGTAAATAAAAATTAAGAATTTCAATACCCTATAAATCTCGCGTAATTTTAATGCGATTTTAAGTCTAACTGTTTGAATATGGAGCTCAAAATCATGTGCGGCCTTCAAACGTTTCTAGTCTAAGTTCTTACGTTTTTCCGGCTACCTAGGTCAAAAAAAAATTGAGAGAGAGAGAGAGAGAGGGAGAGGAGAGAGATAGAGAGAGAGAGAGAGAGAGAGAGAGAGAGAGAGAGAGAGAAAGATAGGGAGAGAGGGAGAGAGAGAGAGAGGAAGAGAGAAAGAGAGAGGGAGGGAGGGAGGGGGAGAGAGAGAGAGCCAGAATTTTAAGCTCATCAAGAATTCAGCTTGATTGCCAGAAGCTACCTATAATTATTCCCAGAGTTTTGAGACATGCGAAAATTTATGGGGAGTTCACTGGTCACTAAACAAGGTACACTGGAGTGGATCAGCTGGAGTAGTTTGTCATCTCTTCAATCAGGAGTGTCAAGTTGGTGTAGGAGGATCCCCCTTTTTCCATAGCACTCTTTGCCCTCTCTCGGAGATCTCTTGCCCTGTTCCTCCGGGCTTCCCCTTCCTCCCCTTGATCCATCAGCCTTTCGACGGCACTCTGGACCTCCTCTTTTGTCACCGACGCTCCGGGCTTTTCGTCCTGCCAGACGGACGGCGACTTGACCCCGACGCCGACCCCGACCTGCGCCATTTCCACAACCAGCTTCTCGTTCAAGAACTGGTCTGCGAACATGGGCCAGGTAATCATGGGGATCCCGGCGTTAATGCCCTCGAGTGTAGAGTTCCATCCGCAGTGGGTCATAAAGCCCCCAATTGAGGGGTGCGACAGGATGAGCACCTGCGGCGCCCAGCCTCTGATGATCAGGCTCCTCCCTTTAGTCCTCTCCTCGAACCCTCCGGTGAGCCACTCCTCCATCTGCGCCGTCACGTTCGCTGCTCTGATCACCCAGATGAACGGATAGTTTGAGGCTTCCAGCCCCAGGCCGATGCCCACCAGCTGTTCGAAGGAGAACCGAGCCAAGCTGCCGAAGCTGACATAGACCACGGATCTCGGTGCTCTTTCATCGAGCCAGCCTAAGCACAGATCCTCGTCGCCGAGGTCTTGTTCCCTCTTTCGGCTGTGGGGGACCGACTTGTTGCTCTGGAACGTCGGCCCGATGGTCCAGACCTTCTTTCCTATGGCGTCCTCGTAGAGCTCGGTGTATCCGCGCTCCAAATCGTTGAAGCTGTTGACCACCACGCCGGACGCCGCCGCTTCGGACTCCAGGATCTCGTCGCTGAGACCCTTCATCGATGACTTCATGGCGAAGTTCGACGGGAGCTGAACCCTCGTTACCTCTATCCGATGGGGTATGCCGGGCACCGCGAACGGCTCGTGGTCGGTGGCAACGCTCTCATAGACCTCCGACTTGCGCACCATGAGAACGCACAGGAGGGAGAAGCAGCAGGTACCGTGGAAGATGAGCCGAGGAATACCCAGCTTCTTCGCCGTGCTGCCCGTCCAAGGGAGCCCCATGTCGGAGATTATGCAGCTCGCCGGGATCTCCAAGTTCGAGAGGTACTCGTCCACTGTTGGCCGTAGCATGGCGGTCGCTTTGAAGAAGTTGATGATCAGCTCCTTAGACGGCAAAGTGTCGAGACTCTCGCAGCCCTCAGGCAGGCCGGCCTCCCTGCAGGGGAAAGGTAGCTCGACGAGGCGGATCGGGAGGCCTGATGCCTGGGCTTCTTCGACGCTCCTCGTGAAGCGAGCGGCGTTGAGAGGCGTGGTGATGAGGCTGGTGAGCACCCCCCGCGCGGCGAGCAGGCGGGCTATGTCCACCATGGGGATCATATGCCCTTGGGCCATCAGTGGGATCAGTACAAAGTGGCCCGTGGCTTTCCCCTTTCCCGGCGAATTCATCACTATTCCTCCCGCGGCCGGCGTTACAAGCAGCAAGAGCCAGTGGAAGAACCAGACCTGTTAACGGCAGGCGAACTCGGAATCGTCTTCCTTCAGACAGGGAGAGAGAGAGAGCGAGAGAAACGTGCCTCCCCGAATCTCTCTCCATCGCAAAAATCAACCGAACGCCGAAATAAAATATTCGTATCCATGAAATATCTGCAAGAGGGTCTCGTTGTCTCAGTTGCAGTCATCAGGAATCTTAATACATGGGAAAAATTAATGTAATTTAATTCACTATAAGGTAAATCAAATGAGACCACGTTATGATGCCCTGTGACGGCGTATGACACGTAAATACTTCACGAGATAAGTAGAACATAAAAAGAAAATAAGAGAGCATCGTTCTGACTAGTCGTTTTTGCCAGCGCGCGTTCGCGCGTCTGTTTCTCTCGAACACGTGGCAAGAAGGAAGTCATCGTGTTCCTGGCTATTCGATCCGCCTTTAATGCGGGGAGAGAAGGCGGGATCCACACGTCTAGATTTGCGCAGGCTACCTTGTCGGCATAGAAAGACTGATTCAACTCACTGTCTTGCGTGCAACGAGAGACGACGACACGTACTGAGATGGCCTTATCTTGGACATTGAAGGACGACGTCACTACCATGCGGTCGGTTCGAATATTGAGAAGATAATCTTATCACGAATATGGTTAAATCTGTACGTCATGAGCAAAGTGTGGCATACTTCTATGTCCAAATGTCACCATTGTATATAACAAGTGAATGCTATAAACTAAAAAACGGAGGCGGAATGACATCGAAACTCTTAGGGGTTGGTCTCTTGATATATTGTAGTTGTACAAATAACAAGACTTAAATATTAGACATCACACGTAGCTCACTCTGAACTGCTCTGTTGAAGTTACGTGGAGAACGATCAACGTTAGGTACGCAGTGGGTACACGGATTTATTTGTAATATGATATGAGGGATGCTGTTGTAATTTATCCCTATATAATTACCCTGATCCCATAATATTAGGGGGATTGCCGCTACTTATAACTGACGAGATGATTATCTCTCCAATAAGAAAGAATAAGGGCTTGTGCGACTGTAGACCTTAGAGGATTCTCCAAACCACAAGTCTGGTGTGCTTCGTTTCCTTCACTCTCTCTATCTCCTGTTATTGCACTTCTTTCTGATGCGCAGGAAGGGATGCTTATCTCCTGACACGCTGATGCAAACAATTAATTACTCATCATTTTACTTGTTTTTTAAGTCCTTATAAATTAGTCAACTTTAAGACGATGTAATTGTCAACTTGAATTGGACATACATGAGCTAGCTGATGAACGCTAGTTAGTCTCTACCATATTTGAAAAATATAAACTTGCACTCCATGTGAGGATATTCCCTATCCCCCTAGCTCATCTATCTTTCCCTTCTCTGTCTACATTTGCATCCCTCTCTCATCTGATCCCCCCTGGTGGTTGCCAAGTTTGTAGGTGGAGTCCACCAATTGTAGGAGAGTATGAGACCCTAAGCGCTTTCCCAATAGTTAATCTCCACTCTCCCTCTCTCTCTCTCTCTTGGTTTTTATCTCTCTATCCTCTGATCTGGCATGTGGGTTCCTAGCTTGCTAGTGGCCATCGACCGATTATGCCGAGGGATGAGAACATACTCTCTCTCTCTCTCTCTCTTAATTGTGGAGATAAAGCCAAGTCCGGAAAACTAAATAGAAAGTGAAAATGAAGATAGAAAAGAAATTTAGATCTAAAACTCATTGTAATCACGATATCAGCAAGAATGTATCTTAACTCATAATTTAGCAATACCAGGTTTAAGTGTACCATATTATTAGACATATATATATATATATATATATATATATATCATCCTGCTAAATACAATTCTAATACTTTTTTACCATTAATTAATATATTTGACTTTATAATTATACATTAAATAAAAATAAATTATTTACCATTAAAAACCTAATTTATGGTAAATCTAGTATTTAGGTCAGTCACCAAATCTAGTATTTTTGGATGAGTAAAAATTTATTTATTTCAAGATGATAAAGGTGAAGACTTTATCCTGACGGCGAAACTACAAACATAAATTCATGTCACATGTTTTAAAAAACATCAAGCATTAACTAATCCTTCTCTTGTTGAATTTCCGTAGTAGAGATCTGCTTCTTAGCGAGAAGGCTCACCTCGTTAATGAATTGCATCAGGCTTTCTTCGGAAGATCCCCCAACATCCATTGCACACCTTGCCATATTCCTCAGCTCCGTTGTTCTCTTTCTCAACTCGTGTGCTTCGATGCCGTTGCCCATTAACCTCTCCACTGCCTTCTTCAGATCCTCTCTCTTAACTTTCACGTCCCCGCTGATTACCGTTTCGTCCCAGAAAGGCCTCTTCATTCCGCACGAGATTCCCACCCTCAATACATCCACCAAGAAGCGTTCGTTGAGGAACTGGTCTGCAAACCCGGGCCATGTAAGCAGGGGGACTCCGGCCGCGATTCCCTCCAAGGAGGAGTTCCACCCGCAGTGCGTCAGGAATCCCCCGATGGAGGGATGAGACAGAATCGTCATCTGAGGCGCCCAACCCCTGATGATGAGAATCCGATCCCTCGTCCTCTCCTCGAACCCTTCGGCGAGCCACTCCTCCACGGCCGATTGCAGCTCCCCGGCTTTGATCACCCATATAATCGGGCGCTGGGCGGCCTCCAGTCCCATCCCGAGCTCCACCAGCTGAGCCAAAGGATAACCGACGAGTGTTCCAAAACTAGCGTAGAGCACAGATCGCGGCTCCCTGGAGTCGAGCCAAGTGAGGCATTTCTCCTCGTTAATAACCGCCTTATCGCCCCTGGATGCCGCATCAGTAGCGAGCTTGTTGCACAGAGACACAGGTCCCACGGCCCACACCTTCTTCCCTTTAACCTTCTCGTAGAGACTTATGTAACCGTGTTCAAGGGATGCAAAGGTATTGACCACTGTGCCGTGGGACGACGACTCGGCCTCACTTACCTCGTCGCTCATCCATTTCCAATCCGGCAGAGGAAAGATCCCCGGCGCCTGGGCCATGGTGACCTCGATGCGGACGGGTAAGTCCGGCACGACGACGGGCGCATGGGCGCTGTCCACGCCTTCGTACACCTTGTGATGCATCAGGTTGTGCTCGCAGCAGGTAGAAGCAGGGAATGCTGTAGAAGTCGAACCGGGGAACCCCGAGCTCGCGAGCCACGTGGCGTGTCCAGGGGTTGCAAAAGTCCGAGATGATGCAGCAGGGCTGGGGCGAGCTCCGCCGGAGGTGAAGCAGAAGCGGCTCCCGCATCATTTCCATCGCGACAAAAAATTTCGCCAATTCCTCATCTTCGTGGGGAACCAGGTCCATGTTCTCGTACCCTGCAGGCAGTCCTATCTCTTCGCACGGGAATCGTAGAGTAAGGAACAGGATGGGGAGGCCGGATTCCTTCACCCGGCTGACGAAGGCCTGGTTCCGCGAGAGGTTGAGGGGCGTGGTGACGAGGGTGACCAGAACGCCGCGCTCGGCCAGCAGCCGGGCGAGGTCCAGCGTCGGAATAATGTGACCCTGTGCCACAAACGGAACCAGCACGAAGTGAAGTCTCTCTTCAACCATGTTTGCTCCCGAGACAGCAAGGGAAACGTCGGGATAGAGGAGAAGGCTTGGGGCGAAGAGAGGAGGGGAGGCTGGAGAAAAAGAACCAAGAAGTCACCGGACGAGGCCTGAAGACCATGTAAGATTCTTTTTCATAATTGATCCTGTTTGACCGTCTACAACTAGACGGGCTCCACTCGTGTCGCGGTAGATCTCTATTTTCAGCGACAAACTAGCATCGGTGGTAAAACGACCTTCTTTGCAGAAATCACGACTTGCAAGGGTGGAATTCGCCTGTTTGGAATCAACTATCGTGAGGAGAAAAGTATGAAAAAATGATGTTAAATGGTATATCGATGGATATCATACCCTCGTTGTCAATTATTTGCGAACAACGTGGATTAGATTTATGCAGTAAATCTAACAAGTAGAAATAAAGGAATTCAGTGCTTGGAGTGGATTGATTTTCCTCCATATCCCGACGGATCTGGATATCTGGATATCTCGAGGATCTGGATTAAATGCAGCACTATTACCTCCATATCCCGAGGGATCTTGATCTGGGTATGTGAATTTAATTCTGCAAGTAGAAATAAAGTAAATCTATCGATGTCTTGAAAATTAAATGCAGCACTACTACCTCCATATCCCGAGGATCTGGATATCTGCGAGGAAGACATAAACAACGAATTATTGCCTGCCGTCCTTCCACCAATTCGCAACTGGGGCCACCCAGATCTCGTCCTTCCGTCCGCCCGTAACTTCCCCGCCTTGTCTCTCCTCCCTCCTTACTCCTGCCGTCATTTCCGCTTTCCCACCTTCTACTGGATTGTCGCACCTGCCTTTCAAATCCTAACGCTGTCATTGGCTCACGAGTAGGAACGGGGGAAATATGTGCCTCCATAGAGGTACCATCGATGAAAGAAACACAGTATGGTCTCCCCCTAAATGTACGAAATCCATCTCTTGAACGGGAAGAAAAATCAATAGTTTAGTTGAGCAGTATGGGGGTTCAAACAAAAACTTTGGATCAGATGTAAAACCTGTGATTGATAGAATCAATGTAGAGAAATTTATTTTCAATTAATAATAGTCAACTGTCACATGAAGTTGTGGGATAAAACAATATATCGTTATGAATCTAAAATAAATCTATGTGAACGTGTGGATGGGTTACCGCACAGATCGTCGATTAATTTAAAGCTGGATGACCAAGTAGCACGTGGGTAAGCATTTAGAAAATAGCATACATGGGCAAATGAAGACATTGACAGATACGTTGAGCCTGGATTGCAAACCATCTGACATGACATTTAAATCGGACAGTCCATGATGGGGGGGGGCGCGTAAAGTAAATGAGAATTGATTGGTTGAGAGATTACAAAATTGGTACCATGTCAGACAAGAGGAATCCGATCTCACTTCTCCCCCACCTCCATCTGGATTCACGAGA